AGTGTCTGCCTACTTTTAATGGGATCTTTATATCTGGTAGAACTAACTACTCCCATATGCAAATATAGGTGGTTGTATTTAAACTAAATCTTTCTGTTACCTCATAAATATTTAATCCCAAAGTTTATTTAACATTATACACAGATCACCTGCTAAAGCTAATAACTGAACTTCCATTGAAACCATTGAACATGTATAGATTGTTATAAATGTAACTTCTTGTTGATTTTATTTACAGAAGAACCTTTAAAAAATAAAAAAAGACATCAGACTAACAAAGATTGACAGATAACTTGTTTTAAACAATCCAAGATGCAGATTAAATTTACATAATTAACTTTCACTAAAGATTAAAGCTGCAGTAGGTAACTTTTATAAAAAGTGGATTCATTCAGATGCCATTAAGAGCACCAGGACGAGCAGTTTTTAATGAAATATTGTCAGGATATAGTTAAAGAGTGATTTCAGACAATAAAGACTTATTTCTATATTATTTTATAATCTAAAGCATGCAGTAATCACATGTTTTACAATGTAATGTTTGTTTTTTAAGTAAGAAAGTGATAGATAAATATCTCAGACCTAGTTTTTACACATCTTCCAGCAGTAATAAGTGATATATACATGTTTTATAAGTTAAATGAACGGTGAGCTGACCTGTACGACCCGGCTCAGTCCGTCAGTGACAGCCTGGTCAAACGACTCGATGTGAGCTCTCGTTAAATCCTGAACCGCCGCATGTTGAGTCTCCTTCAGGAGCCCAAATCCTCCTTCTGTCAGGTTCTTCAGACTCGGACCTGTCGGTAAATTACTCCACTTTGCTGCAAAGTCCATGTTTTCACTCCCAGAGACAACATATGCTTGTTTACCACACGTGTATAGTGACACAGGAAGTACTTCGCTGAGGGGTTTTTGTGGCACAGCTGCTGCCATCTAGTGATGAGAGTTGTCTCCTCCTCCTCCAGTTCACTGTTTCCCAAACCTTTTTATCCTTTTTATATCGTTTATTAAACTAACCAAGTGACATATTTTATGGATATATTTGATATTAGATTCAAAACTGTTCAATTAACACAAATAATGAACTCAATAACTGCAGGAAGTTTGTGTAAAACAAGTGATTTGGATTCATTTGGAGCAGATTATTTCCTGTTTAAGGAACTTTTTATACATTTATCTGTCTGTATTAAGTGTTTTTAAATCATTTTTAACAATCATACAGACTTTATAGGCTTCTTTTTTGACAAATTCAGTGTTTTCTTGTCCGTGACACTTGACCATTGTTCAATTAAACTATTTACTTTATTTATTTTCTTCTCAGAAGTGAACAAAATGCAGAGATATAGGCCTACTGTGTATATTTTAACCACAATGTCTAATCTCTGCCACATTATATTCTGTGTGTGTATATATTTTTATGTATTATCTTGTTTATTTATCGTCTTTTTATTGAGAGTTACCAAACAAAATGTTGTTGTGTGCCTATAATTACAAATAAAGTCTCTTATTTAAAGGGTCATATTATTGGGAACAATGTGAAGAATATGAAACTGTATAAAATGCAGAATATAATGTGGCAGACATTAGACATTGTGGTTAATAAATAATAATAAAATTAGTATAATTATTCATATTATTATCAATTATTATTATATGTGATCAGAGGTTACAGAGAGACTGGCCTACTGTGTATATTTTATCCACAATATATATATTATATTAAATTATATAACATTTCTTGCAAGAAAAGCATTGATTGATTGATTTATTGAACCTCGTGTTTGTGTATTTTTTTTTTTTCCTGTTGGAAGTGGGCCAAGAGGAAATGGAGCACCATCAGGGACTCAGCTGAGCGAAATAATATTAATAATATCAAATACTAATAATAATAATTAAAAAATATATTAACAGCTCTTATAACACTTAATAGTTTTGAAATTGAATTTGTGAGTTTTGTAAGGATGTTGTAATTAGTTTCCCCAGTAAATAAAATTAATAATTTATTTAACACTTTATTTCAATTTAATCATTTATTATTCAGTATATTTATTTTTCTTTAATTTCTTTAATTAAACTGGGCAGCCCGGCTTTGAATTCACACGCAGCCATAGAGTCAATCATTTGGTACTTTGTTTACGTTGTCACATTTATATATATTTTTAAAGACCTCTAATCATCAGAGGCCAACCTCCATTATGAGTTTGAATCTGTGAAACTGCTGCTTTCAATTTTAAATGTAAAGTGATCGAGACACAGTGATAGAGCGGACTCCAGCTTCAACCCAAAGACTCAGTTCTCTGATGTTTCTTTAAAAATTAGCAGTCATTTTATTTACCAAATGAAAACAAAATTATATTGTAAATGTTATAATATTAATTAAGTATTGTTGAATGTGTTTTTACCAAAGAAGTCTTACGATAATAAAATGTTTCTATATTATGAAGCCAATGGATTTCTGTCCCAAAAATGCTCAAATGACAAATGATATGACATTTTAAGTATTCAGATTCAGATTCAGATTCAGATTCAGAAATACTTTAATAATCCCAGAGGGAAATTATTTAATAGTCATAATAGTTAGTAGTCACTGTACAGGTAAAGTCACCTCAACGGACACTGACATATTGACAGTTTAGTCATTTTTTAACTTTCATAAAAACATATAACTCTATATATCACATTTTATTTGGAAAGCACTTTGCACTTAAGCTCAAAATGTGCTTTATAAATAAAAAGTATTATTAAAAACTAAGCTAAGCAAGTCTATTTCTCTCTGCCATTGTTAAATAAAAATAAGATAAACATTTATAGAATTAAAAGACATAAAGTAAAATAAAACTATATACAGTCCCGCTCATATAACGCTGTTTTAACGAGCTTTAATATAAACATCCCGAACACACAGTGACCTCCACTGTCTCCGTGTTGGTCCT